GTGAATCTATCTATGCAGGTGAGTAGGTAGGTCCATCTGAAGGTGGAAGTGACTGACAAGGTCAAGATGCAGATGTAAAAACCGATTGGATGGAACGTCGAATCTCTGAAGAGGTTTTTGGTGTGTCGATTCACTTCGGACCATTTGCAGTTTATGCAGGAAGGGGTCCAGTTCGCGATGTCCTTCTGCATCGAAGGCCACACAAAACGTTTTTGGACTAGACGTCTCGTGTCACGTATACATGGATGGACCAAATTGTGCATGGAAGAGAAGATTTGACAGCGAAATTGAGGAGGTATATATGGGCAAACCTTGCTATCCTTTGTGTCACAATATAGCTATAGTGACATACTGATTCGAAGTGGCTGTAGCGTGAGTGATGTTTTATCGTCCGTGAAGAGTGCGGTTAGCTCATCGTTATTTGCTTGAGCTTCTGCTATGGCGGTAAAGTCTGTCACCGGAAGTCGAATCTCGTTAATCAGAGAAAAGGGTGTCTGCCACAATGTTGTTCGAGCCAGTGACATGCCTGATGTTGGTGCTGAACTGCGCAATGTAATCGAGATGTCGCAGTTGACATGAGAGCAAGTTTCTGGTTTTTGGTGAAAAGTGAAGATGAGAGGACGATGGTCAGTATAGATGACGAAGTTTCGACCTTCTATGATACGGCGGAAGCATTTGATTGCGGAGTATGTAGCTAGCAGCTCCCTATCGTAAGTACTGTACTTTATATCGGTAGGCGTTACTTTCTGCGAAAAGAAGGCTACTGGGTGAGTTTCTTCAGCAGTATGGGTTTAGAGTACAGTGCCGATGGCGGCATTAGATGCGTCTACCATTAAAAAGAGATTGTTCTATGACAAATAGTATGCAAGGGTTGTTGCGTTTGAGAGGTTTGCTTTACATTGATTGAAGGACTTGAGAACAGATTCGTTGCAGGAGATAATGCATCTTTATCATTTTTCTTGGAATCCTTGAAAAACTCGAGTAGTGGGACTTGAATTTGGGCTGTGTATGGCACAAAAGTCTATAAAAATTGACCATGGCTAAGAAGCGACAGAGCTTAGCAACAGTTTTTGGTTGAGGAAAGTCGTTGATGGCTTTGGTTTTTGATGGCAAAGGCTTTACTCCTGACAATGAATTCATGCAGCCGAGAAATAGAACTGCGGATTTTCCGAGGATTCACTTGGATATGTTTAATCTTAGGCCATTGTCTTGCAAGCAGAGGAACGTTTGGCAGAGGTGGTTCGTGTGTTCGTCTGCATCGTTGGACGCGACCAATATATCGTCGAAATAAAAAATTCAGAAATCAAGGCCAAATAGGTTCTGGTGGATGTACTGCTGGAAAGTTTGATCAGCATTTTTTAGGCCGAAAAGCATATAGACGTATTCAAACAAGCCGAATAGGGTTGTTATGGCAGTTTTTGGAATGTGCTGGAGGAAGATCAGTATTTGGTGATAGGCACGGGTTAAGAAAGTGTGGTAAAATGATTTTACCTTCGAGGAGTTGAGTGCTGTCTTCTATATGAGGAACAGGATAGTGATTGGGGACAGTTATACGTTGAGACGGCGGTAACCACTGCACGATCGCCACCAGCCTTCCGTAAGCCTGGTGAATAAAATAATGCCGTGAGCCTGGTGGAGTCCAGAAGACTCCGAAATAAAACACTACATTTTATTGCCTGTTAAAATAATATGAATCTTATGTTAGTATATGTATATATATATTAGGGTTTCTTTCCCGGGATCCCGTTTTCCCGAAATTCCTGCCGTTTATTCCCTACGAGAAAAATCCCGGGAAATTTTATTTTCCCGGGAATTCTCGCATTTCAATAATAATTTGTCATGTCAGGTTTTCCTTCTATTATTTATTATACGAAAAGTTGCATCTTGAAGACTCATCTAACAGTAGGGTTGCCACCTGTCCAGGTTTGACCCGGAGACTCCAGGATTCAATGAGTTATCTCCGGGCTCCGGGGTTAATTAATATTTCTCCGGGTTGTGCAAGTTGAAATGAATATGTAAAAAATTGTATGCAAACCTTAGGCTTAGCTAATCAGGTGACGGTTAGATTACGGAAGAGATATGAGAACAAAATGAACTGAATTAAAAATCACCAAGAATGTCGTAGAATGCAGATCAACCTTACAGTTATCTGCTGGGATGACATCACACTTCCAACATGCTTGAAAGAAGCATGTATGGACCTAAATACGCACCACCACCTAAACTCACGCACGGAAAGATCATTCCGGAAGTCGAGCAAGCTATAGAGGGGCTCAGCGAGATCAAAAAAGAAATGTTTAGATGGGAAGTGGCACTTAAAATCAAACAAGAATATAGTAAAAGGGATTGTGACCCAATTTGGGCAAATATCAGGAAAAGTCGAGAATGGCTGAAAAGTAACAATCTCGTGCTCACAAGGGCCGACAAGTCGAAGGACTTAGTAGTCATGAAAAGAAGCACTTACGACGACTTTCTGTTAAAGTACATTAATGATACGCATTGTATTAAGGAGCACTCATGCGCTCTAGAAAGGCTGCAGGCAAGAGTTAAAAGGTTTGCAAACACACCGCTGGCTAAAGAACTGGATTTGACGAAGATAATAGTCCGATCTCCGTCCGCACCTAGGCTATTTGGATTTGCCAAAATCCATAAAAACGATAAAAGCTTAAGGCCTGTCGTTGATAAAGGATGCACCCACAATATTATTGGAAAGGTTTGTCAATGAATTCATTCGCAAATACTCGCCACCGCATCAATACAGCGTAAAACAACCTTTAGAACTTCTACATAAAATGGCAAATATGAAGTCGCAAGAAGTTAAGTATATGACCGTATTGGACTTCAAGGCGTTGTACCCTTCCATCCAACTAGAACCATGTTTTTGCCATTTACGGGACTTCCTTTTAAGCAAGATCAAGCATCCAGAAAAGAAGAGAAAGCAGATCTTAGAGTTGACGCATCTAGCAACTTTTTCATCTATTTTTAACTTTAAAGGCGTCACATACACGCAGCAGAAGGGCGTCGCCATGGGAAGCCCAATGGCAGGTACTTTATGTGAGATGGTGTTAAGAACGCTAGAGAATGCATTCATGCCGAATTACGAAACGCAAATTCTAATGTACGCACGGTATGTCGACAATGTGGTTATCTTATGGAAAGTTAAACCCTACTTACAGCAACTCTTCAAGGACATTAATGACAACAAGTTCGGCCTCGAGATTGAACTCGAGCAAGAAAGTGATAAGCGCATACACTTTCTGGATTTATCTATACAACTTGACAGCAAAGGGGATTTTCGCACTAAAGTATACAGAAAACCTACGTACAACCCGATATTTATCCCATGGAATTCGCACGACCCGCCAACTTACAAACTAGCTGCATTCCGGGCGCTCATCGCACGAGCTTACTCACACTGCAGCAGTACCCAAGACAGAAACGAAGAGCTGTGTTATATCAATAAAATAGCTAAGAGGTATGGGGTTAATATTAAAGCTATTACTAACCAAAGTAAGACAAAGCAAGGTGCGAAACATACAAAATGCAAAAGAGTTCACACTGATGGAATATAAGGCCTCCCTGAGCCTTATATTCCATCAGTGTAAACACTCCCTATAGGAGAATAGGAGTAGCTACGAATAAAAGAATAATATACAAAAGGAATCCTACTATTTATCAATTGCTAAGGGCAAACAAAGATGGCGTAGACAGGAACGCTCTTCCGGTGGTCTACAGAATCCCTGTTACAGACACGCAAAGGCAGAATATGATGTTCTACATCGGAGCTACCGGAAGATCCCTCAAAGAAAGGCTGTCAGAACACCAGAGAAACATAAGAAGCGAACAACCGTGCACAGCGCTGGCGACTTACGTCTTAGCTGACCCCCAAGAGGTCAAAGCTGAATGGGACCGAGCCAGATTGATACAAATAGTTCGCGACAAAAAGCACCTCCGGTACGCTGAAGCCTGGCATATCTGCAAAACAAGCCAAAAAGGATTAGCTATCAACTTCCGAGATTCAAGCAAAGTATCGGCAGCCTGGCGAGCAAGTATATTATAAAGTCAAGAACGATGGACAGCGGCAACTTACTTAAGGGCAGAAAATCTTAAGTTAATGTATTTGCTAAACACATTGTGTATGTTTGGTATATTACGTCTGTATTTTATTTTTACTGTTATTTTATATCTTGAACGTCATATTTTTTAACGTTCTAATAGCTACTGTGGTTATATAATGACAACCGTTATATAGAGATGGCGTTATTCCAGTAGAATATCATTTTTAAAAAACGTTCCAAAACGCTTGTATCGTTTATTCAAGTTCGGAGTTCGATTTTTTCTGTTTTTCTTGATAAAGGTCATTGAATATGACCGAAAACGTTAGAATTTAATAAATATGGCTGCATATTTATAGGTTTTCTTGAGTGTGTTTAGTGGGTGAGATTTGCCCTACACTTTTAGTTACTTACTAGAAAGTAAATTAAATTAATCAAATTTATGATATTCCTGTATGGTCTTTCTTATCCATATAAAATTCTATTTTACTATCTCATCCCGGAATTTCCCGGGATCCCGGGTAAAGAAATTATTTTTTTTTTGTAATCCCGCTGGAGGCAAATTTCCCGGGAAATGAGAAACCCTAATATATATATAATAAATTTATAAAGACATACTTGAAATAAAACAATCCTTGATTTACGTGAAATATTTATTCACACCACTACATAATAAAAAACATAAACTTTTTTTTGACAATTGATAATCAAGATATTTCATTGCGTAAATCTTGATAAACAATTTGAAAACAAAAGCAAGTTTCCTGCTTTGATTTTTACATCAGTGTTTTCATTTTTTTTTTCACTGTGGCTTATAGTTTTCAAGTAGAAAACATCACATCTATTTATACATTTGAAGTTTTGTACTTGTAATTCTGTACTAAAAATTGTATTTCATTTATGGAATACAATTTTTACTCTTATAATATATAATATCGTGTTAAATTATGGACCTTTTTCTTCGTCAATTGTATACATTTTATACGAAAGGCGAGTAGGCTTTATCGAACTGTCGGCCATATAATCATAGTATTTCTGTTAATAAGAGTTACATATTAATTAGTCACATATTTTAAATACTTTTATTAAATGTGGATTTGCGTAATTTTCATTCTGTAGCATATCCGAAAAATACTAAAATAAAATACAAATATTTTGTATCCAACGCATTATTAACTGAATCATCTATGTTCGGAACATTTTAAATACGAACAAGAGATCGATAACAACAGTTTAATTTACATAAACAATAATGTGAGAAATGATCAACGTGATAAATAAATAAAATAAAATAAACAGCAAAAATAGTGTTATTTAAAGTATATTTAATAACAATAATCATAATATATTTTATTCTCATCACTTTTCATCTATAAAAATGTGAATTACAATTTATGAGTAAAGTTTAATAATACGTAGAATTATTTCGATACAGTTTTTAAATGCACTTGTTTAGATTATATGATATACGTCTATGTTTATATATATCTGTAAGAAAAATTACCCCAACGTTCAGGTTATTTCATATTTTACAACATACGTCTTTGCTCTACACACATTCTTATACCTGCCATAGACACCTATGACAAGAGTGGAATTTGCAGGCAACATGTAATTACCTATTTCAATGACAACGATTTAATGCTTCAAGTCAATAACAATTATAAATATAAATATTGTTATCAAAAAACAAATTCCAAAATATAAAAAATTACTTATTTTCATTTCCGAAGGATTTTTTCTTGCAATAGAAGGTATAGGAGGATAGATTCTCATCGACTCCTGAAAATTGTAATGTATAGCCCTTGAATGTATTAAATTAATCCTTGAATGTATTAAAGAAATTGAGGAGTTACCTTATTAGGCATTTTAAGTACGTCATTTTCGTCAGGTCATCGATAGTGATATCTCTTTTTATATCATTTTTGAAAATTTTTTGCAATTCTAAATACACTTTCTCTTGTATTTCATGGAATCTTCCCAGGAAATAAAGAGTCCATGACATAACGTGAGCGGTTGTATCGTAACCCTGATATTAAAATACGTTAAAAAAATGTAAAATTTCTTTCTATGTAATTTACATTTGCAATAAAATAACTACTGTATAATAAACAGGTAAAATTACGATAAGGGATGCACGAATATCTCGATTCTTTTATATTCATGTGATATCAATTTACAATGCGCAATCACATTGCTTGCAGCAAGCAGTTGACATAGTGCTTCATTTACGACAAAATATCAATAACCCGATTTTGGGAGTGTACTGTTTCCTCTAATAAGAAAATAGTCAGAAACTCTAAAAAGGCGCTAGTTCCATCTGGCGTGAATTTTTTGGTGATAAAATAAAGGAGAAAAAAATGCGTCATTTCACTTCTTCCGAAACACAGGTATTTATGAATGAAACCAAAAATAATAATAATAGTAAAAGGGAAAATGGTTCCAACTGTTACTTCTCGCGGAAAACGTAATTATTGGAGATTAGGCCTAATTCAAAAGATGTAAAGTGTTAGTAATGCACTGTACAGTACATAGCAGCAGAGATAAAAATTCGACGTAAACGAAGAGAGATTACAAAAAAAGTTATTAACATTTTTAAATAATACATTATAAGAATTCTGTTTATAATTTTAACACGGTTAACAGAATAGAATGCGATACATGTACGCCTTTGCAAACGATGTTTCTGTTCTTCAATGAAACTAAAAATTGGACGAAATAAACGTTAAATTGTCCACAAACTGTGTAATTAGTCGAACGAAAAAGCTAAATGCACATTGTCCAGCTTGAATTGTCTTAAGTTAAACAACATATTACATGTCGTAATATAACGACGTATAATTACATTTTCGGTTATTTTATTATTATGGACTTGAATTATTTTAAATATACGTTTATCAAATTATATAATTATTTTCGATTATACGTTTAATAAATTAAGTAAATTCTGCCTACCGCAAAAATAGCGCCTTCCATATCTCTGATAACGTCTTCTTCCGATATTAAACCTTGTTTGACATGAAGATCCAACAGGGAATCGATAATACGCTGTTTTGCTTTCGTCTTTGGTTCTTCTTCATTACCTGATTCTATGTCTAAGGAATGTTGCTGCTGCATTTTTTTCACAGAATTTTCTTTTTTTCTCTTGAACACCTTGGCATTAAATTAAATCGTTAATTACATAAATAAAAACAAAACTTATATCCACAAGTTGAGTTTACCTTTTCGTCGAAACGATGAATTATTTCAGCGTCCCTTTTATAATTTTTTCCTATTTTACTCATGAAGAAAATTGGGAAAAACCAGTACATTGGATTAAATAGCCATTGAGGAAAATATTTCAGAATTCTATATTAATCAAAAGATAATTAATGCAATTAAATTTACTTTAATTAACTTTGGATTAATAATTTATTTATCAAATAAATTTGATTAATAATTTATTTATTAAATAAAACTTGGATAAAAAATAAAGTACTGTCAACTATTAAATTTACATAAAATTTAACATTACATATTTCATGTGAAGAACATTATAGAATTTTCTTAAATTGAAATAATTTAAAACATGTAAAATTTACTTTAAATCATAAGTTTGTGTAAAAGTTTTTTTTTTTATTTTTGTGTTCAAAATATGCAAAGAAAAAACTTTGCAATTATTTCATATCGTAATTAATTAATTTTTGACAAATATTAAAAATAAGTTGCTGGACATCCAATCACAATATTTTTATATTGTTGTTGGATGTTTAAACTTTAAGTTTTCGTAATCATAAAGACTTCTTTTATAGTACTGAGGCAACAGAAGAAAAACACAAAGATGGATAAACACTAGTTATTTTATTATAACCACGATATGCTTTGCGAAAAGTTGATCTGTCAAACATTTGTCGTTCATATTACAGATTTTCTCTCACGTGTACGAAATACATGAAGTTTAAAATGATATAGCTGATAATTAAATTAATTTGAAAATCTTTCATACATATTTAATGAACACGTTGTATTCGCTTAGAAACTCGATACTTCTCTCCACGCATTGTTCTAACAACTTTTTATTGCGATCAGCACATATAGAAATAACACTTCATTTATAATGTAAAATCTTTTAATTGATAAACAATCAAAATTTAAAATGTTTCGTGTTCCTTCTACTGAAGTTGACTCGAACATTTTAAAAATTTCATCAGATATAAACTAAGTTTATATTATTTAATATAAACATCACTGTTGTAGATATCATTTGAAAAATGAGAAAATATATCTGGAATTGAATTTTCCTACCTGTGTATTGCAGACAGATATTCTTGATCGTTCCTAGTCTGAGAATGTAGAGAAACTCCTACTACTATGTCTACATAGAAATAAATTGATATTTATATTCAAAATTATTCTTTTAATCACTATATCAGTGTATTTCTATTAATAGGACTTATCATACTGGTGTATAAGATTACAGTCTCACAGTTGCACAGGTTAAAATTGTTTTATTTTCAATTACCAGGTACAGTGATTATAAGAATAACTTTGATTAAATTAAGGACATAAATGCATATTAATTAATGATATTTATATTTTTTAAATGAATAAATATGCGTCGTTCGAAAATAATATTCAGTTTCGGAAAAGCATCGCAGAACAAAGTAGTTTCACTAAACGAAAACAGTGATGTACGAAAGAGGAAAATAATCAGTTAGGCCATGCAAAAATGATTATAGTCAGCTTTAGTTTTAACTGCTGTCGCTAGACAAAAATAGTGTTAATAAAAATGGCAGTTATACAAAAAAGGAAGTCACCAGCGTGTCAGAATTTCACACGAATAAATCCGTAATTATCGTGAAACGTGTAAGTGGTAAAAAAAACAGTTTGAATTCCTGCCCCCGTCCAATGCTGGTTTCGTTGAGGGAAGTTCAGTAGCTTACTTCTGTTGCAGTGACATATATATCTATATATATTATTATTAGTGTTTAAAATTCGTTTCATACTTTTTCTACGTCATGAGCAATAAGTTAAAAAGAAGGAATCTTTCATTTTATGTTTACGTATGAACAAATTGATATTTATAATTTTTAATTAAATATTTTACATTAGAGAGCAATACCTGCAATTATATCGAGAGTGCAGTATTTCATCAATTCCAGAATATCGAATATTTCATTCTCCTGCAATTGTTTGAGTTTTTCGACTAAGACGTTCGAATGCTCCATAAATACTTTTTGATCATCTTTCAAATTTCAAACATGTCCATGTGGAGTTAAATATTTTCTTTTTCTTCTCCAATTATCGCCAGAACTTTATTTAATTAAATTCACAAAACTGTAAACAACGATATCTAAACTAAATATCAAATAATGTATTACCTGTACAGAAGACTGTTGTATCCGAAAACTGGCTTGAAGAAATCATATGTAGAATTTTTATTGATTAAACTCTTGCTTTTTAACACTTCCTACAGAAAGTAATAATGTATATTTGCATTCGTAATGAATATATTACATAATTAAGCATACAGTCGACCCCCCTATAACGTGCGTTCCTATAACGACAATTCCTATAACGTAGCGAAAAAATTGTAAAACATTCGTATAAAGTACCTCCTATAACGTCGTTTCGCGACAAGATTGATAGAATCTGGACCAATAGTGGATGAGCAGCCGAACTACTTTCCTCCGACCCTGCGCCACGCTACGGAGCGGCTAAATTGAGTTTGCTATCGTCTGTACAGTATTATATATAAATTATATATAAATTAGGTACTGTACATATAAGTGGTCAAACCCGGTACACATTTCCAGTGCTCTGATGGAAAACCAGTTCGTGCCACGAATTGTGGGAGAACCGATGCAAGCTACACCCCACACGGTGTTTCGGCAACACATTTCTTGACCACACGTAGCACCGCGAACTCTATCTAGTGCGAAGGAATAATAAAATTCATTGAAACAGTCAGAAAAATAATATTGTCCTGTCTCTTGCAAGGTTCACTGAATTAACAAGATACATTAGATATTTATGATCATAACTCATTTAAAGTAATGTTCTCATAATTGTTAGAGCATTCATAAGATATGGAGTACATGTTTAGGATACTGCATCCAACTACGCAGTTAACAACGCACAAGTAGAAAAAATTGTTACATTCGAGCATGAGCGTAGCGAGGGGTGCCTGGGTGGGCATGGTCCCTCTAGTGAACCTGGTCCCCCGCAGAAAATCACAGTCGAATAAGTGTTGAGTCGATTTGCAAAAAGAACGAAAACCTTAAAGCTGAAATTTTTGAATTCTAAATAAAAAAAAAAAAAAGCTGAACGGCTTTCCCTGTGTGATTAAGAGAAAGTATATAAGAACATCAAACTTTTATTTTTCATTTTGTGATATCTGTAAATACAAAAAATAATTAAGTTATCAAATTCTCTAGATCTATTTTCAAATATTGGAATAATTTCAGGAAGCAATCAGAATCTATCCTCCAGTTCCAGTCATATTGAGAAAGAATCCATCTGACTTGAAAGTTGGTATGTATCGCATTTTGGGGGTAAATACACTTCACAGCAACAGCATAAATTTCATTAAAAACAATTAAATTTCATTCAGGTGATTACATCTTGCTTGCAAAATCATTCCTTGTAATAAACATTTATGGGATTCACCATAATCCAACGGTTTTGATAAATCCCGAAGTATTTGATCCGGATCGATTTCTACTAGAAAACTGCAAGAACAGTCATCGTTTCGTTTTCTGCTGTTCTCTGCCGGTCCACGCAATTGTATAGGTGAGTATTGAAACACAAACAAAAGCCTACCCGTATTTCTGATGAATTTACCTTTCTTCAGGTCAAAGATTCGCCATGATGGAGATGAAGAGAGTTTTAGCGAATGTTATTCGACATTTTCTAGTGAAGTCTTTGGACCATAGAGATAAGATTTTCGAATCCGGTGAGGACGTTCTTCGTCCTAAATTCGGTAGAATGACTGTCGAAAAACGATAAAAGAAAGAAATATTTTCTTTTAGAAAATATAAAATCTATAAATTAACGAAACATTTATTCATAATACAATGTCTAATGTATTTTAGATTGATATCAATATGATAATACGCACAGCAAAACGATCAGACTAATAAGGAAAGGTCTGTGCCAGATGAAAAAATAAAAGATGACCTGTAAACTTTGACACGTAGGTGTGATTTTTTTCATTTCTAAAACGTTTATGTAGTACATTTGTCATAAATAATTAAATGATTTCTGCAAATTATATTACTTCGATCCACATGTCAACTGTCAACGTCCTCTTCTGTCCTTTTCAACTGACACAGATCCTTTTCATTTAGACCGATTGGCGTCACTGCGTCGAGTATAGTATACTAAATTTCAGCAATAAATTTTTTTAAAATTATATTTCAAAACGTTTGGTGTATTCATTTACCTTGCAACAGAGCAGTCGAAATTGGTTTCACGAATTTAGTTTTTGGATCTTATTTTAAATAGCCCTACTTGAAATTTATAAAAAAATTTAAACCTTATAAAATATTATTTTTCTACATGATTCTGTAGCATAAAATCGTTTGTGAACGTGGCTCATTCACACGTTGTAAATGTCAAGCAGTAGTAACACGCATCTGCGAAACGAACGTAACACCTCTTACTCATTTTGAACAGACATAAAAATTTCGATAACTTAATGAATTAATACGAGTAATTATTATATTGAGACATTTTCACTGCCGAGTTGCAATTTTTAATCATATTTTAAATTTATTTAACTTAAAGTATATGTTATGTATTTCAAGTTAGTAGTGTCTTTCCCTGTAAATTAAACCTTCCTGTTAGCAATAGAATCATGCCGTTTAGCTATCTAACTATTTTCAGAGGAAAAATACAAAAGTAAAAACACATTAACGAGTGACGTAACAAATGTTTAATACTCTGTCTTTTACATTTTTATACAAGCTGAAATCGAAAAATAGCATATGCAACAATAGATATGAGTGCATATGGTTCTAATGCTGACATTGAGTCCTGCTAAATTTGTAATGTGTTCATCAAACACAATATTCTTGAAATGGCCCTAAAGCAAAATATCAGATGAGATCAAGTCTGATAAATTAGCTGGCCATGTTCGAAACAATAGCTATTGATTATTCTGTCATTTTAAATATATTTGCGAAGTAATTACTCGCTCAAGAAGTCTTTGTGATATTGTAATAATGTTATGTGTAATTAATTGGAATTCTTTGATACTACCAGTATCTATCTCTTAAACTTTAGAAAAATATAATAGATTAATGATTTTTTGATTTAGAAAAAGAATCGATTGTTGCTTTTGAATTGTTGGAAATAAATTGTTGGTTTTTGATTGTTAAAAATACAATTTTGATATTTCATTGTTGAGTATAAATTTTTGATTTTTGGTTGTTGTGGATAAATTGTTTGTTGTTTGTTGTTAGTAATAGATTGTTGCTTTTTTATTGTTTAAACTAAATTGTTTGTTTTTGATTGTTGGAATCATATTGTTCATTATTTTATTGTTGTAAAAACATTCTAAAGTTTTAATTGTTAACGTGCATTTAATGCAAAATTCTTTCGAAAGTACAAAACTGAAAATAGGAGATAAAGTTCAGTATTTGAATTATATATATATATATATTTATTTCAAAATCTTAATAAATAATTTACAGAAATACATATAATTACAGAAATTTCCTTTTTAGTGAATGATAATTATAGAAATGGAGTTAATGGTTTATTGTTCGATATGAACAAAGCAGAATTAAATACCAACTGAAAAAAATAAATTCAGACAATTGCAGTCTGATTTCCTTTCATTTCTTTTTGTTTTGCTTTAAGAACTTATTGATATGTTCTATATTTAACAAATTGTTATTGAAATCACAACCGTGACATCAGCTTTACTGAAAAAACACTTCATTTCGATAACTTTCCTCGTAATTATTTTGAGTTTTATTTCTGACAAATAATAATTTCGGCATAATATTCGACATTTGTCAAATACTTGAAGATCAATGGTAGAAAGTCTACAAAGAAATCGATATAATTAATTTACTTTATCCGTATTTTATTTCAAAGTTTATTTTACTTAAATGAATGAAGAGCATCGCTGAATTAATTCAGTTAATCTTATTTTTTTTAATTTTATTAACAAAGAAAAGGAATTGTGGTCATTTGTTCTTTTTCAAGTATCTGGAAACAAACCATAAAACCGAAAAAAAACAAAAATGAACAATAGTTAAATCGTAAGAGTATTAAACACTACGACAAGACAAAATTTTTCATATTATTTTTACGAAATCTGTAACACGATACTTCGTTATCCAAGTTGTTGCAGTGTGTTATCATCTGTAGTGATGCTTTCTAAACGTTTTTCATTCACGAACCCAATTTATTATGGAGATTTTCTTGCGACCGCGGGCCGGATATTAAATTTAAAATAATAATATACAAATAGTGCCTATAACTACTTTATTTATTTGCATAAAGAACGAGTTTAAAGAACGAAAACACATACATACATAAAAAACGAGTTTTATGATTTGCTTTATTTATTTGCAGCATAACAATTTAAACCTATGTGCGATATTTGACACTGCTGCACTTAAGCAACTACAACATTTTTTAATGTTGAACGATCATCGGTCAATCAGGGCATGGCAAACTCTTTCTCAAGAAGATATCAATTAAAGAAAAAGATTACACACAAGTTGTTCCGAAATTAGAACGTAGACACAACTGCAAAATTATAACGCACGATTCTCAGCTAACATAAATACTCACGGAAAGTGGTAAATTGAATAATTACCTTACTTCATTTAAAATTATAAATCACCCGAACTGTAGCTGTGGAGATGATGTACGCTACACAAAAGAATACATAATATAACGTAATATATGATGTGTCATTTTTGACCCTTGGCAGAAGCAGCTTATTACATACTTCACAAACAAATTGATTACCTGGCCCTTGGGACTAAGTAAACTCTCACAGATCTTAAAATGTTCAAACGTTGCATCATTGAAAGCTTCAACAAATATGGACTGAACAAGACAAGTAGCCTTTCTCCTATCCTCACTGTACTTTACTGCACTCTGTCCTATTGACCCACTACTTCTTTCTTCTACCCTTTCAAATGATCAGAACTTCATTTATCTTGCTTTGTACTGTAAAGTTCTCTTACTAGTACGGACAGTTAAATTTTCCCAGATTTCGATTTATTATGAAACAACTAAATACCATATACTTTTTCAGGAAAGTCTTTTTGGAAGATATTTTTTTTAGAGATTGTTCACGTATTTTGTTGCTTTATTCAATCGATATAATGCATCCCTAGGAATCCCAGGTTCGATTCCGTGCCAACGTAAACTCTTTTAATAACGGTATGTCCTAAATATATCAGACCCTGTACCTCATCGTCTGATACACTTCATTGAAAGCCTGAATAATAAACACACGATGCGGATCAAAACCCCCTTAATCCACACGGGGCAAAAAGTTAAAAAAATGTAAATTGAAAAAAAAAAACGCTTAAAGAAGAATTTTCTAGAAATTGTAAAAAAACAATAAAAAATTTATCTTCACGGATTACAGAAGGGGTTCGGCTTTTATCTACAACGGAATAAGAGCTGGTAAAATGCAGATGAGGAAAGCCGAACCCCAAGAAGGTATGATGGAAAAGCGAAGACGTCCGAATATCACCAGTATCCTGTTTTTAAAAATGTATCACCAGTTCCTGTTTTTAAAAATGTATATTTTTAATCGGATATTTTTGTGTTTTTTATAGGACTGTTTGGCAGCCAGTAGCCTAAAAATAAATTTCAGTCGCCAAAAGTGTAATATCTGGAACATAAAGTTAATAAATGGTTTTTTTTTTAATCAAGGTTGAATCAAGGTTAATAAATGGTGGTTTCTATATATTTTTGGAAAGGACTTTCTCTTCAAAAGAATTAATTAATCATAATTATCTCCATCGGACAAAATTTACAAAAAAGTAATTATATATCTTATACGAAAATTCAATTTAAAGACATAATAATATGTAACAATGATAATGTTTATTTGCACACCTTCGACAACACTGTCGATACTCCTGAAAAATTCTTTGAAATGTTGGAGTAACTTCTCTATAGTCCTTTTTTAAGCCCAATTGCATCTGTTTGTTCTGTCAATAAAGCTCTACCTGGAGGGAGATTCAAGTCTGACTATGAGATGAAGAAGGTGATTCATTCTTGGCAAGCAGCTCAGCGGATAACATTTTTATTGAGAGAGTAGGGAAGTTAGTTGACAGATGGACAAAGTGTATTGAACAGCTGGACAATTGTGTCGAAAAATGATGTATTTGACTTTTTGAAAAATTGATTAAAATAAATTTTAGAACATAAGCGCGTACAATTTTTTAACTCACACACATTTAATTTCTGAATTCTTGCCGTTTTGTCAATTTATTCTGTATTCTGTATCATGTAAAGTGTTTGAATTCGTCCGAAAGTAGAAAACTAAAAATATATCATACAGTTCAGTCTATCAAATCTACATATATATATTTAAAACTCTTAATCAATAATTGACAAAAGTACAGATAATTACAGAAATGTCCTTTCCTTATCTATTTAGTACTAACGATTGATTGTTCGATTTGAACAAAGCAAAATTAAATGCCAACTGTAATGATTAAAGTCTAGACAATAGAACATTAATTTTTAAAATTTTTTTTGGTTTCCCTTCAACATCCTATTAATAAGTTTTGTATGTGACAAATTGTTATTGAAATCACAACCGTGACTTCAGCTTTACCTTAAAAAAGACTTCATTTTCATAGCTTTCCTTGTAATAATTTCGAGTTTTTTTTATAACAAATAATTCGCCATTTGTCAAATATATGTCAATCAAAAATAAAAAGTTAGATCGAAATCTAAACACAATAAGTTATTCACTTTATACATTTTAGATTATACTTTATTTTACTTGAATTAATTAATGAAGAGCTTCGCTCAATTATTTTACATTTTTATTGTTATTTATAAATAAAGAAACACTGTGAACATTACGAATTTTTCAAGTATCTAAATGTAAACCAAAAACAAAAACAAGAAAAAATCAACAAGCATTAAACGAAAAGTACATTAAAACCCACTAATTATTTAACCAACTACGAAAAACCCACACACATCATATTTCTTCCGATTTCTTATTAGAGAAGACCGAAAGCATATCTTTCCAATTTAACAATTATTACTAAGTTTGTAACACAAACAGTGACCTTAATTACTACCAGCAATTAATTTAATATGTTCCATAGTTGTTATCAATTTTATGAGGTAAAAAGAGTAACCATGTCAGATAGAAAGAGGTAATAAATTTGTCAAAAAGTTCGATTTCTGACAATTATTATAAACAACACCCAGACGCAAATCGAACTTAGACGGAATTGCATCAGAACTTTCCCCGATAGTTCCCTCTCCGTGACATGTATAAAAAGGGGTCGCACCTGCACCTCGGGGCAATCATCCACAAGTCATCAGCGATCGTCGAAGGAAAGTCTCCCAGCTGTAACTATATTCGAACCTCGCTCTATGCACCTCTCGAGACCTCATCGTCGCACCTTCCCCGACAACCTTTATAGTCCATGATTGTCACGACAACGTTGAATATGAGTATTTATCAGAGGTATTTTGGTTTAAACGTAAACGCTCTCTTTCGCGGTTTTTAAGTAGAATATAACGTGTATCTGCCGTTTTCTATAGATCTTTGTATCTTGCAACGCAAAATTGCCATATTTAGTTATAACTTAGTATCCTAGTTTTACGTTTGATAATTGAATTTGTTGTTTCTGAAAACCTGTCTGTTATTTCGGAAAACGGACATCGATCCTCCGTCAAGTGTTTAACGAGCCCACCTACTCGAAATAGTGTTACGAATCGCGAGTTAGGGTGCGTGTAATTATCCTATCTAATGTCAGTTCCTGACCAGAAACAGCCATTGAACGATTTGCATGTTACCGTTAAATCATAAGCCATCCCCTGACGAGAAGCCTACCGGTAAGCAGAGTTGAGCTCACTGCTCACAGCCCCTCGGTTCTCACATATTTCTAGTGCGCTTGCGTGGAGCGTGAAGTTACGTACTGTATTTGCCTTTGTTAAATAAATACTACTCCGAGTTACAATTCGTTCCCGCAATTACCATGCGCTTTGGTATATTTTTTAATATCTGAATACAATCTATTAGGAGACTTGGACGGTATTATAATTTTATAACTTAGCTGTAAAGAAAATGTAAGAGTTTTAATTAAGGAAAATAAAAAAAATCGATAATGTTGTTTCAAAATCGACTGTTTAAATTTAATTTTCGCGACTCTAGCATTTCGCTTTGCCATCCCATTTAGGGTTGCGATGCATAGTTTAATAAGCCCTGATTTGGAATATCAAGGAGGATTTTCCCACCATAAGCTTGGCTGTAGGGCGTGAGTAAAGCCGAGACTCCCTTAGCTTAAAAACGGGAGTAAAATCCCTTGCCGTAAAAGCTTTTAATGACGTGATATGATATTATACGCCCGAGCAGGTCGAAAAGCAGCGCAAAAGCGAGTTGAGCAGTTTTCTTCTTTCGATGAGAATTCGGCCGTAAAACGGCCGAAATCGCATCGAATCCACCAATCAGAAGTCAGTGAAATCTGAGTCATTGCAACACGGTGGGAAAATGACGAAAAACGAGCTTTTGTGTATGTTCTGTCGTTGCTACTCTAGATTAGATCTGGAAAGATTTATCGGAAACATCCGAAAGTATTCGTGTATCTACGACAAAAGGTGTTCCGATTATAATAATAACGGATGCCTAAAACACGCGATATGGACGGCCAAATGTAAATCCTTCAATTTAGTGGTATGTAATAAAAAGGCTAAGCTATAAGTGCTGTGTATTATCTTAATAATAGGATAATAAAAGTTAATATATGAAAGTAAAGATATTATTCCTACTAATAGATTTGTAATTATAATACAGAAAAAAGTCGTAAAATATAATCATTGTTTTCATATCAATATATCACGTATTCAACAGTAACTTCGGTAGTACCGTCGCCGTAAATACTTCGTTAGTGGGACCTCCACCGCAATCCAGATGCAAACGAAAATAGGTTACGTGATTAATTAAAAGTTTTTACTGCGAAGGTTTTTACGCCCGTTTTTAAGCTAGTAAACTCTCGGCCTTACTTTTGTTACCGTTAACGAATTTGTGGCTCGCCAGAAAAACTCGTCTTATATACTGTATAAGCTACAAATTCGGTCAATTATATCAAGCTGATAATATTATGAATCTCTAAAATGTAGGATATCGATGGCTCGAATGCATGGGCGTAGCTAGAGTTTTGTTATGGGGCCTAGTAGAGGCCAACCTGACACAAAATTGAATTATTTCAAATGATTGTTTATTAAAATGAAAATTCCATGATAATCGACGATAACTTTACACACATGAAATATGAAACTTCCTTTAAATGAGTTATGATAATAAATACCAAATGTATCTTGTTAATCCAGTGAACCTTGCAAGAGACAGGACAATAATATTTTTCTGACTGTTTCAACGAATTTTATTATTCTTTCGCACTAGGGAGAGTTCGCGGTGCTACGTGTGGTCAAGAAATGTGTTGCTGAAACACCGTGTCGGGTGTAGATTGCATCGGTTCTCCCACAATTCGTGGCGCGTATTGGTTTTCCATCAGAGCAAGAGCACAGGAAATGTGTACCGGGTTTGACCGCTTATTGAACATCATGCTTCCAAACAACCATACTCGGTGTGTCGCGTTTTCATGTCAAATAACAGTAAACCTTACTACATTTAAAATAATATTTTCTAATTATATAACTTCTAAAAAACGATTCTTAGATTATGATTATGATTACTTTTTAAACAAAATATTTTGTAAATATTTCAAATCCTAGGTTAAATTATAGTCCCGCTATAACAAATTCCTGACAGTGCTTCCAATTTTTACTGCATGGCGATTTTGACGTCAAAAATTGGCGGGTGACCAATACGTGTCATAAAAACTGACTGTAATTGGCATTTTTCCAGGGTTATTATTTTGCGGAGATATATATTACGTACTGTACACTAGAACGTGCAGACCAAGAAGAGTATTAACCATGTTTCTGTCGACTTCATTCCAAATTCTTTTAAGTTTGCTTATTATATTTCTTCTAGTGATACATTCATTAGGAAAGAAATGGAGAAACAGAAGAAAACAGCAGGAAAATTATTCGTCTTCGTCTGCATCTCGAGGTAAGTAAATATTTGAAACTATCGTTAATTTAACAAAAAAGAACTTTATAACAGTCTTCGGTTAAGTAAATTTTTTTTGGTTTTTCATAGATTTACAAATATTATAACGAGGAAACGAATTTAACTGCGAACTTTTTCTGTTTAAAATTATAATTTCTAATGCTCCGTTGAGAATTATTTTTAATGATTTCAATGAATCTGAGACAAATCTAAATGAAGAGTATACTGTAAAACTTGTCTATGGCGACCATCCACGGTTCCTTCAAAAAGTTGTCTTTTAGACAGGTGGTCGTCCAATACAGGTGGTTTTATAATAACGTATTTCCGTACGTATTTTGCGCACTTTTTAGCCATTTCTACTAAGCAAAACTCGAAATGAGCAGAAATAAGCGAATTTTTTCAACGATAGGGCTATATTGGTATTGTATTTTCGGATAACCCGATTTATGGGCGTCGTCGTGATACAGTATTATAAGACAGATTTAATACTAATATTTTAAAGATTAATACGATAGTCGCATTTTTTCGATTATAGTGCACACTTTTTTCCCGACTTAATTAATTCGACTCGGTTGTTTTCGTTCGCTCCTCAGTTACGTGTATTACGTCATCGATATACAAGCACGTCGTATCTCTACATCACTTTGATTTTGGTATTCGTTAGTTTAATCTTATTTTAACTTTAAAAATACTGTATTTTTTAATATTTAATATTTTCTTAAGTACAATAAGAAAAATTATTAATTAATAATAAAACGATTTTATTATTTTTTCTCATTATACGATCTCATTACAATCCGCGATTGTCATTGGACAATCACGGAAACGAAAAAGGAAGGTCGCCTGTAAAACTGATTTTTGCATTAATGCGTTTATTGTATTTTTGAATATTTTGCGTGCGAAAATTACTTAGATATTATTTTTCTAAAAATATCGTGGAAATAAGGTAGGTTTTTATACAGAAACTACTTATCGCACACGTACTGTATATGAGTTTCAAAATAAATAAATAAAAATAAATTTATCAAACGATGAGATCAGCCGATTAATTGTATCGTGTATAATATTTTGCAAACCCAAGGAAAATACTATAGGTAAAGTAAATTTTGTTTTCCCGCAGTTAAACTTTGCTGCCAATTGCTGTTGTGATAACTTTAATACGATCTTCTAACGACAGTACTTTGCATTACTTTCGTTTTTCGGACATTTTCCAACAAACTGAAATGAATTTCCTTAGTTGCTAGACTAATTTCTTAACACCTACACCTAATTTCAAGAGTGGGAGAAGTGCCCGGGATGGGTTCGAAAAAGAGTTTAGACTAATTCATTACATTAAGAGGAGGAAACGTTGTTTAGATGGGTTCGAACAATAGTTTAGACCAGATACATTCGCGAAAGTGCTCGTTTATTACAGGTGTTGTATGTTGTTTCGGACCAAAAATCGATGCCCGCGGTCGCGTTACACAGGTGGTCGTTTAATACGGGTAACTTATACGAAGACTATGGATAAACTATTCCGTGCCAAAAATTTTTGCCCGTTTCGGCAGGTGCCCGTGGATTGCAGGTGGTCGCCTAAGCAGTTTTCACTGTATTGGTATTATTATTTTTGAAATATTACTAACTATGTTATCCTAGGAATAAAACGTATCGTTATTGGTTTATTTATAAAGATAATGATTTGGTTGAGACAGTAATTTGTAAGTAAGGAGTTGGTTCTTGCGCGGTTGATTAAAACGTTAATATAACGAACGAAAATGGTAGATATACTAGTATATGGGCCGTCGTTAAACTAAAAAAAGTTATTGTGGTTTGGTTAGTTGCTTCAGATGTCTTCCATGTTGTGTTGGTGATTGGAGTTAATGATAGTTAGGAGATTTTCGAAAGTTATAAGATTGGTGTTAACTGTGTTTGGAAGATTGCTATTAGGTCGTCTGCTTTGTCGTTGATGTCGATACCAAGGTGGGCGGGAGTCCAGACAAAGTGTATGTGCTTCTCGTGGCGGTATTGGATGTGTAGTTTGTTATGGGTGTCGCGGGTGATAGTAGGGGATTTGTCATTGTAGTTGTTTAACGCGGAGAGGATGAATTTGGAATCGGTGCAAAGAACGGTAGGTCTATCGGTAACATATGTGATAGCCTGCAAGATGGCATAGACCTTGGCAGTGAATATTGTGGAATCTAGGAACTAGTTGCTTATCATTTCTGGAGGCGTTTGGAGGCGCTATCTGTTATCATATTTTATTTTTAAAAGTTTATATTTTTAGCTGTTATGAAATTGGGAAAAGTTAGATTTTAAAAGTCAGAAAAAGTGTTATAAAATATTTTTAAATACTAATATACTAATAATCAGTAAAATCGTCATTAAGCTCGACCCTGCTGGAAATACACACGACCACCTTTATCTCCCCACTTCATTGTCCCTTCACTACGAAAATATAATAGCATCAATCTACCTTTGTAATACGCTTCTTGTCTAGTCTTATATTGAATTATACGAGCTGTATGACAGCTTTTCTTTTCCGCTAGACTTATTACATTACACCACTAATTAGAAACAGGACAATATTTAGAAAATCACATTTTAATTTCTTAGAGTATGAATTTCGGACTTCGTGTCTCTTTTCAATCCTTTGTGATGTAACTGTTTAGAAAATAATGCACGCAAGTTAACATAAAATTTTTGCACTGTTACAAAATTTGTAAAAATTTTTAACTTACATGGTAATGAGAAGCATAGAGATGGAGAGGATTGATAACATACGGATGATAATTATTAATTTACAGGTATTTGGAATAATAAGTTAGAATGTTAATGATTTACAAGAACGATATATATAACAACGTGTAAAAATTGGAACTTACAGTAGATACGATATATAAAGTAGCAATAGCAGTGAGAGGAAAACAATATACATAAAAATGTACACTGTTAAAACAATAACACTTAAAACTGTGACATTGAAAACTGTTTTATTATTAAAACAATAAAATAAAATGATGATGTAAAAAATAATTGCACCTTTAAAACAATAAGTTTATAAACTTATATACAGAAAAATTGTAACACGTTGAGAGGGATATCATGTTTCATGTAATTTTTTACCTGTATTATTATTCATTATTCTGTCTTTGTTTTTTAGTATTTCTAAACGTTCATACAATCTCTTTTTTGTGTACTGGATTCTTTATTAACAATTTTAACCATAATAATTTGGAAACCTTCAGTGTTACAATGAACTGCAACGGCCGAACGACTATTATTATATTTAATCGCGAATATTTGTTCGTTAAACCGAGTTTGTAAATTACGTTTCCCTGGTCTCATATATTATTATCATTATCATCAGCGTTTATCTTCCTATTCAAACTAGGGATTTTTAGGGCACCAAAATTTTAACATATTTGTTTGATATAAATTTGATTCTATCAAAGATATTTTGTTCATACGAAGTTTTAAAAAATTCATGAGTTGCTTTCATGTTTCTGTTTATTACTTTCTCTGTTATTGATCCAGTTGTTGATTATGGTTTGCTGTAATCATTCATTAAAAACAGTTTTATTACATCTTGTGTTTCAGTGTTTTGGAGGAAACTCAATAATTGAATATTTTTTTTTTTTTTACATTTTAAATATCATTAACTTAACACGAAAGAAGTAATTCTACAGCGCTACAGAGCTGTATAGTAGAACTGAGCCACACGTTTAATGTTAAAGTGCCAAATTTGATCATTAATATCTCCAAGACCAACTAACCTATTTGGATGAAATTTAAATTATTTATATTTAGTGTTCGCGATGAGCAGTACGGAAGTGCTGAACTTTGAAAAAATTCTTTGGATCGTTTTGGCAATTCCAAATTCCGCAATTTCGACTTGATTTAAAACGAGAGGGATTTTCGCGACACCAAGCTAGCGGAAAATCTAGAAAATATCTGCGTACGCTTAAAAGTTCTTTGTACAACCGACCACCTCTTTTTTTGGTCTCTTTGAAGGTTTTATTTCAAAATATCGAAAATTTACAAAATTATAAGCCCAATGTTTAAATATTAACATTCTATTGGTCGATCGTCTACGAAGTGAAGTTACATTTTGCTATTCCTTTTAATCTATTAGCTTGGGATCCTTACAATGACTTAAAACGCATTTTTTTCGGTTGTGTTATGCACATTTACTCCGTTTAATACAAATGCATATTTAATAATAGAAATACAGGAATGAACGATGGATTCTGATAATTCAAATTACAGCTTTTGAGTGCTGGGGTACTTCTCGTTTATCTTTGTTATGGCTACTTTGACTAATACTCTCAATTTCACTTAATATTACACCAGTCAATCTATTTATTAATTCAATGTTTGTGGGAAATCATGTTAATTGTCTTTAGTGTAATTCCTGTTCTAAATATTTAAAGGTATTTTTATTCTTTGTAAATCTTGTTTTGTTTTTTGAGTCGTATTGATAATAGCATGTACAGTACAGTAATACCCCGAACTTACGCGATAGGTGGGACCGATCGGTAACCGCTTAAGTCGAATTCGCGTAAGTCGGAATATAATTTCGCAAGTAAATGCATACAAATAATTTTTAATTGGGGCCGGAGGCTAAAAAAAAACTATAATTTAAAAAAAAATGTTTAATAAAATCTTAGATAATACATATGTATAACAAATTAGGCCAACAAATAACATATGTATAACAAATTTTCTCTTCCCGCCTTCTGTCGATACACGTGGTCCTTCTCAAAACTTGTTTCAATGTTGCCAGATCGCGACGCTTCTGCTTCTGATGTTGCCAAATGTTTTTCCCTTATTCCATACTTGCTTTATTCTTCATAAGTGCTTAGCACCATATAAAGGCCTTTTAACTAGAAGCAAGCAATCTAAAATTACATACATTTTGCAAAAGGTAAAGCATGGATCTGAAGATAATGCAGAAAAATGATCAGAGGATAAGGATAACTTGCCAAAAAGAAAACGCTCTCGGTTAATTAATAGTGTTTTTAGTGATGACGAAGAAAACATTGTTTAATTTATATTAATATGTATCACTTAAAAAAGTTTTAATGAAGATATTTATCTTAATTATGAAAATATACTAGCATGTTTTTTAATTTTTGGAACCTAACCCTCCTTTTCGTATTAGTTCTTTGTTTCGTATAACACGGATTCGCATAACACGGCAATTTTTTGGAACGTAACTATCGTGTTATACGGGGGTTTCCTGTATATTCACTTAAAAATATAGAAATACTAAAACTTATCCATGTATGCTTATATTCAATAAAAATTAGTTGATTTTATATTTGATATAGGTTTTTTAAAGTAGAAATCTGACTACCTTATGGTGCATGACTTTTGAATTTTATAACTGGATTTCGGATTTTGTTTTAAATAAATATTTAAAATCTATATTTCAATATGTAAACTAACTGTTAATTAATTTTGTCATTCAGAGTTTGAAAGGCCCCGCAAAAAAAATTTATTCGGGCCTCGCACCTATTGCATCCGGCCCTGGTGTTACCAGTCACCATTCTCTTCCTTTTAGCTCGTTTTCTCCATTAACAAATATAAAATGCCCTCAATAATTATATACGAACCTTTTTTGATAATCGGAAGACATGTTATTTCAATTCAAATTTTTTTTAAAAGGTATTTGATAGATGACGGGTATTACTCTGTTGTTAAAGGAAAAATATGACGTACAGGACAAGCAACCACTAATTTGAGTCGAGAGCATATATTTTAAATTGAATAAATTAAAAATATGATTAAAAAATTGCTGCTCGTTATCTGACGATGTCACAATAAATAATTGCTCGTTATAATCTTTTTATTAATTTTTATAACAGACAATAATTTTTCAGAAAATAAAGTCAACGGCCAGGAGTTAAAAATGAATCTTCCGTCTATATCCTTTTTACCAATTTTGTGGAACATTGTATTTTCTCAACGTGACAAGCAATACCACAATTCAGACATCGGGATACGTACGTAAATAATATTTTATTGGGCAATTTGACTGTTTATAAATACATATATATTTTTTGTATTTTTCCAGATGCTTTAAATGTATTTACTGGACTCTCTACGCTATATTCAACCGAGAAAGTTGCCTGCCTCAACATATTTGGATATAAATTAATTTTTTTCTTACATCCGGAATCTGCAAAGGTAATCAAACATGCCTAGTTATGTAATATATTCATTACGAATGGAAATATACAGTATTACGTTTTGTAGGAAGTGTTAAAAAGCAACAGTTTAATCAATAGGGATTCTACATATGATTTCTTCAAGCCAGTTTTCGGATACAACAGTTTTATTTGCAGGTAACGCATAATATGCATTATTTGATATTTCTTTTAAACTTGTTATTTACATTTTTCTAAATTTAATTAAATAAAGTTCTGACGATAATTGGAGAAGAAGAAGAAAATATTTAGCTCCACATGCACATGTTTGGAACCTGAAAGATGATCAAAATGTATTTATGGAGCATTCGAACGTGTTAGTGGAAAAACTCAAACAATTGCAAAAGAATGAAATATTCGATATTCTGGAATGGATGAAATATTGCACTCTCGATATAATTGCAGGTATCACTCTCTAAAGATAAATATTTAATTAGGAATTATAAATATCAATTTGTTCATACGTAAACATTAAATAAAATATTTATTTTGCTCACTTATTCATCATCACGTAGAAAAACTATGAAACGAATTTTAAAAAATAATAATAATATATATACATGTATATGTCATTGCAACGAAAGTAAGCTACTGAACTGGACGGGGGCAGGAATTCGAACAGTTTTTTACCACTTACACGTGTCACGATAATTACAAACTTAGTCACAGTACGTCTTCCTTTCTTGTATAACTGCTATTTTTATTGACACTATTTTTGTCTAGCGACAGCAGTTAGAACTAAAGCTGACTATAATCATTTTTGCATGGCCTAACTGATTATTTTCCTCTTTCATATATTACTGTTTTCGTTTACTTCGTTCTGCGATGCCTTTCCGAAACTGAATATTATTTTCAAACGACGTATATTTATTTATTTAAAAAATATAAAAATTAATTTATTTTTATGTAGACATAGCAGTGGGAGTTTCTCTACATTCTCAGACTACGAACGATCAAGAATATGTATCCGCAATACACAGGTATGGAAAATTCAGTTCCAGATATATTTCTTCATTTTTCAAATGATATTTACAAATGTAATATTTATATTAAATAATATAAAGGTAGTTTATCTGTGATGAAATTTTTAAAATGTTCGGGTCAACTTTATTAGAAGGAACACGAAACATTTCAAATTTTGATTGTTTATCAATTAAAAGTTTGTACATTATAAATTAAGTGTTATTTCTATACGTGCTGATCGTAATAAAAAGTTGTTAGAACAATGCGTAGAGAAAAGTATCGAGTTTCTAAGCGAATACAACGTGTTCATACAACGTGTTCATTAAATACTAGTAGCCTGGTACGCCCCCTAGTGGGCATTATTTACAAATTTCCATGAGGCACGGTTCCTTTGACTTTTTTGTTCCTCTCAATATGCTGTACAGCTCTGTTAAAGTCCCAATGGTAAGATTTACCCTCCGAATAAAGAGATGGCGAACCCCCCCCAACTGTAGCCCCTGTGCAAACAATAAAGTCAAAGTAACCATACCCCTACTCGCTACCCTTTGCGAGATATAAGCTCCTGAAATAATAAATTCCTATTAGAAATATACTGAATTATTTATATTGTTATATTGACCAAATAATAATTTATGGGCCAAATAAATAATAATAATTCATATTGTTAATTTCAATAAAATTTACAATTTTAATTTGAATGTTTGAAATATGACACATGATAGGGGCGTCTCTAGTGTCCGTTATCAAACGGTTACGGGACAGACGGACACCCTTTGAATGGGTTATATATATAGATGTATGAAAGATTTTCAAATTAATTTAATTATCAGATATATCGTTTTAAAGTTCATGTATTTCGTACACGTGAGAGAAAATCTGTAACATGCACGACAAATGTTTGACAAATTAACTTTCCGCAAAGCATACCGTGGTTATAATAAAATAACTAGTGTTTATCCATCTTTGTGTTTTTCTTCTGTTGCCTCAGTACTATACAAGAAGTCTTTATGATAGCGAAAACTTAACGTTTAACCATCCAATCACAATATAAAAATATACAGTCCAGCAACTTATTTTTAATATTTTTCAAAAATTAATTAATTACGATAAGAAATAATTGCAAAGTTTTTTCTTTGCATATATTAAACACAAAAACAAGAAAAAAAGTTTTACACAAATTCATGATTTAAAANATGTTTTTTAATTTTTGGAACCTAACCCTCCTTTTCGTATTAGTTCTTTGTTTCGTATAACACGGATTCGCATAACACGGCAATTTTTTGGAACGTAACTATCGTGTTATACGGGGGTTACCTGTACATTTATATATAACCTCTATTTATATTTAAATGTAAATAAAATTACTTATTCTGCTATCAAACAATATTTTTATTATTTAGGATTAGATCCAGCAGAACCATTTTTTCAAGGTCTTCCACCATCAGTTCGCCTAGACGAAACTGATGCCCGCTTTGTTGATGTGATTCATACCGATTCAAAGAGTATCTTATTATTAGGTAAGGTAATTATACCGTATTTAAATAGAATCTTTGACAACTATCACAAATTGACTGGATAAATTATGGCAATTATAGGTCTTGGTATGAGTCAAGCAATTGGCCATGTGGATTTCTACCCTAATAATGGAAAGGACCAACCAGGATGCTTTAAAAATAAATTCATCTCAATTTTCACTGAAGGACTTATAGAAAGTACGTAAAAATAAAGTATAGTTTCAACAGTATAAAAATAAAATGTAAAAAGAATTACAAAAGGTCCTCGTTTAACGAGTATTCATTATCCGAATCCTCGTACTTACGTGGTCAAAAAATTGTGGAACACGAAAAATTACTCGCATTTACGAGGTTTCCCCGGCGGATGGTAACTTCTTGCATCAGGTGATTCAAATACTCATTGATACATATCGCTGTACACAAGATGCATTATTGGGTTGAGTGTCGTTTCGGTTCCGGTTCTGGTCGATTTTTCTGTTTTATTTTCTGATTTTCTTATCAAAATTATGTCAACGAAACTTTTTCGTAACTGAAGCAAAACCGATGATAAAGTTCCTAAAAGGAAACGTGCTTCAAGAGGTCTAGAATATAATAGCAGTGTATATTATATATTATAATATATAAGCATACAATTGAAGAAATCGAAGACAGTGATGAGGACTTGGATAAAATTTCCAATGAAAACGGGCTGTCCATTGATGGTGTACGTGACACATTTTCGAAGCGTGACGAAATCGTTAATTATTATGTTAACATGTTAATATTTCTCATATTTTTATTTTCTTAGTAGTTAATTTCATGTCTGAAATTATATTTATAATAATTTATATTTATAATTTTTATTTTAATATAGGTAGTAGACGGTTCATTGGCTGCAATCATCAAAGAGCAGTGGATTTTTTCCATTGGTCAATTAATAATAACCATTGTAGACTTGTAGGCTATAAATGCGCTTCTTGGGAACAATTTCTGGAAGGAAAATGCACCGATTGTGCTCCGGATGGTAGTCTATGTTCTACTATGGGTATCAGAGCAGACGAACGTAAAACATTAAACGAAACTAATGTCAAATTTTACCTTAAAACTAGCGGAGATTCTCCATTTTGCTGTAAATTTCATTCATTAGTAAAACTATTTTTAAAATTTATACTTCATTAGTTCAATATATATATTGGTAATTATATTATTAATTAATTTCAGTACAACATTACAAAATTGTATTTAAATTACATAAATCAAAGCAAGCTACAGCAGTAAAAGGATCTGTAGCAATAGAATTACATGGAGACCAAGAGAATGTTCTTACCAAACTAACTGGAGGGTAGAGAAGGCTTTACTTTTATTAAATGTATAAATTATATATTTTAATTTTTATTGTTTACTCAATGAGGTTTAACTTCTTTAGAAGCAGAGAACTCCATCCAGGAAGCACTCATTTTTATCTCGCTACTACGGATAAAAACCTTATAAAAATAAAAAGCGTTCTATTTTCGTGGACAGATTCTTCATCACTTCTTAATCCAATTAATTGGATCCGCACTAAAAAATTATATTTAGAATACATAGAAGTGATTCCAATGAATGTTGTTGATAAAATGTAAGTAATAATTTATTTCATATAACTAATCACTCTGTACATTTACTCATACGTCTTTATTTATCTACAGCGAACAACGTTCACTAACGACAAAATTATGTCCAACCGATCCATTCAAACCGATTTATTCTAAAAAGCCAGCCGTTCTACTCGAAGTAAATTGCAAAAATTAAAAAAATAGAATTTCACAGTAGGAAGTTTGTATTATAAAATTTGTTATAAATGTAACATTTGTTTAAATTCGTAATCGAAATTTAAATAAATTCGTAAATTTCTAATTTGACTAAATAATTTCGGCCTATTTAATTTTTATTATTACTTTCACGGTTCTGTTACGTATAACAGAAGAAAAAAATGGCGATCGGTCAAAAAAATGACCCCCCGAAGATTTTTACAATTTTGGACCCATGGGACTTTGAAACGTCGAGAAATGTAAAAAAGTTCGGATTTTTTCTGTATCTACGGATGTTAGTGTGTGTGTGTGTGCACGCGCGCTGAGTGGAGGGAGCATAATTTTGTTCACCCACTTTAAAGCTTAATTAATAAGTCCTGTGTTTTTTACCGAAAATTTCTGAAATTTTTCAGGGAGGATTGATGTTATTTTGGTAGTTAAAGCTCGAGGGATGGGAGATAGAGATGTTGTCTGTCATTTCTGAAGTAGGGGGTGTACTTAATGAAAAGTTTATTTGTTTTTAGCATTTACAAATTTTTTATAAAATCGTCCCTACTCTCAAAATTAAGCTTTCTGCTATTTTATAATAATTAAAAATATAAAAAGTTTTTAAAATGAAATATCATAACAGACACCACACTCAGTTAAACGTTGCCGGAAAAGTTAAGCAACTCGTTGCTGGAAATTTTTTTTTTTTTTTTTTTAAAATGTTTTAGTAGTATTCCTCGTTATAAATGAATTTATTTTACGCATTTTCCCTACAACGCAAATCTCAAAAAAACAAAATAGACACTGAATTAAATCACTGCATCAGCATGCAACTGATGTTACAAGTATTCAATCTTTAGAAGCAACAGAATCCAAATCATCACAAATAATAATTTTCTTAAATTTTTTAATTTAGAGTAGNATTGGTGTAATTTATATAGAGAAAGTATCTGTAAAACAAGTATTCAATCTTTAGAAGCAACAGAATCCAAATCATCACAAATAATAATTTTCTTAAATTTTTTAATTTAGAGTAGCATTTCACCAACAGATTTAAAAATCATTAAGCTACCGATCACTCTTAAAAGAGTAAGGAAATTGTATAAATTCTTCACTCATATAATTCGATTAAATTAGTACCTAAAAATGTACTACTGTAATTGGAAAAAGATATAAATTCATTTAAGTGATGCGACACTTTGTTGGAGCCATTTAAATGGAAAGGACACTCGCATTTTCTTTCCTCATTTTATATAATTAATCTCTATTTAAAAAGCATTATTTCTGAGGATAACGATTTTAAAAAATTTAATTGAAGTATATCATGAATAACTTATCGTCTAAGTAAAAACCTAAATTAATTCTCTCAAATCTTTGTCTTAAAATAGCAAAATATCCTTATGTACGTTTTTATGTTAAAATGTAAAATTTATTTATTTCACAAAATGTACATTATTCAAATTTCTTCATTTTTATCAAAGTTTCGTTTATTAATTAACATTGTTTCCGTAAATAGGCACAGTTTGCTACAAAATATTTTTTCTACTTTTCTGGTAAAAGTCTCTGTTTAAAATTAAAATTGAAGACAGTCTGTCGAAATAGCAGTTATTATTCATTCACTTTTACTGTTTCGGAATTCGAAACTTTTGATGACCGACTATTCCTTTGTAGGCTAAGTATTACTTAGTTGCCAAATTTAAAAATTTTCTTTTAAAAACAAAAAAAAAAAGAAAAAAGAAAAATTATCTAATTAAAAACAAACAGTTTTTGAAATTAGATCTGGTAATAACACAGGCGTCTTCTTTCCTTTTCTCATTCATACCATATTGGGGTGTAAAACTTTTTATCCAATGAAAGTAAGCTCTAGTAAATTTAGTTTTTCAGCTGTCCTGTGATGGTGAATCTTTGTAGAATATTTTCAATCTTTTCAATTTTTATCACCTGATGTTAATTAAGTTTAAAATTAAAACTAGAGGAGAAGGTGGTATTATGGAACCCCAATTACATTTTAGTGAATTGTAAACAAGGTATCATAAGTACACCCACATTTTTTGTGCGAAAAGTACCGGTAACTAGTAAACTAAATGTTCCTAATTGGATTTTTCGCTAGTGTAACTATAAGTATGGTTTTTGAAGGCTTTTGTACAAAAAGTCCGAAAGTAGGCTTAGAGAAAATCGGGTGGTAATACGGAACCTTACTGTATATTTTCAAAAAAATGCTTTAATGTATCCAAAAAAGAAATAGGAAAGGACAAAAAATGTTAAATAATTACAAAATTATTTACTCCAATGTATTTTATCGCAAAAATGCTTTTACAATAGAAAAATATGACCTCCATCAACAATATATATTCCAGCAGCTTTTTTTCGATATTCTCAGGAAGAATTGACTTTCTACCTAGTGTCTTTTTTCACAAATTGCTCCGGAGGAATGTCTGCTTGCAAATAGAAAGTTCGAAGGAGTTGAATTCCATATTACTGTAAAAGCAACAATGGGGTCCGTATTTTACGCATCGCCATCTCGAATTAACTTATGTCTGTCGAGACCAAAATTTAAAAAACGTAAAAATCACACAGATTAATATGTACCCCTAAGTCTCTGGAATGGAATACGTGCACCAGTGAACCTACAACTACACGATTTATATTTTAAAAATAATTAAATTCACTTAGCATTCAAAACTTGCGAATTTTGAAAAAAACNTCCAGCAGCTTTTTTTCGATATTCTCAGGAAGAATTGACTTTCTACCTAGTGTCTTTTTTCACAAATTGCTCCGGAGGAATTTGTGAAAAAATAGAAATATATGCTTGCAAATAGAAAGTTCGAAGGAGTTGAGTTCCATATTACTGTAAAAGCAACAATGGGGTCCGTATTTTACGCATCGCCATCTCGAATTAACTTATGTCTGTCAAGACCAAAATTTAAAAAACGTAAAAATCACACAGATTAATATGTACCCCTAAGTCTCTGGAATGGAATACGTGCACCAGTGAACCTACAACTACACGATTTATATTTTAAAAATAATTAAATTCACTTAGCATTCAAAACTTGCGAATTTTGAAAAAAACAAATTTGCTGATTAAATGCGGACAACTGTTTAACTGAAGTAAAACGAGTTTTCCCCTTGCTACGGATGTCTTCCTAGTTCAGTTCAGCCACATTCCGCTGCAGTTCGCCTTTATTTTCAGTTCGAAATAGGGTGGTTCCATAATACCTGCAGTGTTCCATAATACCACCTTCTCCTCTAAAGATAAAGTCTGTGGAAATACGTTACATCTGTTGACTGATAGGATATTTCAAACGCAAAGAAAGGTTTTTCCATTATGTCAAAGAATAGAACTTCAGACAAGCTATATCTATAGATTTTAGAGTAATTTAATGATCAACGAATTTACCATAATTTTTCTGATGTCTTAAAACTCAGTTCAGGTCACTTCTGAAAAACATTGGTTAACTTTCTTTGTATTATTTTCATTACTTCTCCAGTTAATTTCGCATTTCAGCACGACTGTTTCCAGAAACTCTGTTGTTTCTAGTCCAAATGTTTCCAGTTTCCGTATAGTTTTTGGAATACAGGAAAAATAAGCTGCTGTATAAGCCAAATTATTTAAGTCATTACTAATTGGTGTAATTTATATAGAGAAAGTATCTGTAAAACATTTTAATGAAAATTACTTAATAAAATAACCATATAATATACAATTATTAAAAATACATTCTTATAAATACAGTTCGTGTTTAATGTTTTCGAAATTATTTCTATAGAATAAATCTGCCTTTAACCAGGTACTGTACCAACCCTAGCCTTATACAGTATATAGTGAGTGCAGGCATTTTCGCAACGTACGTTTCAGATCAAAAAACGGCTTTGTTCTTTTTTATTCGTTGGATTCCCCTCTATAAGCATGGTGAAATTTCACTGAACTTTTCTGAAACACTCTGTGTATTTTTGTTATTTTGTATATATATTACGTACCACGCATTAATTTTTATATAAGTATATTACATGCCACGCATTAGTTTTTATTTAAGTGAGTTAAATTAAATAATTATCTTTGTGCAATTACATATTCGCATTGCTATTGCATCGATGGATGTTGATGATTTATTATATCTGTACTCAATGTTGCTTCTGCTAATAGTTACCCTGATATAGTGATCACGCTCATGACATGGTGTCTAAAATACAATTTCAAAGATAATAAGCTGTATTGCAACTTAGAACAATTTTTAACGGCCTACTATATGACTAAACTTAGACCCGTTTCCCATTAGAGTGATCCATGGTAACCAATGGCAGCCTCTTACCTTCCATCAACTAGGTTATGTGATTTGTGAATGTTCCCTGAAGACCAGCATCAGTAAATAAAACTAGCACCTTCTCGTCCATTTGTTGGTTGTATAGCTTTAAGATTTTAGCACTCTGCAGTTGGACTTTAAATCGGCCTTAGAACCAGGTTAGCGCTACCCGTATAACGCCATTTCGTTACAGCGCGATTTACTAATAGGCTACTCATAAAATACGAATTTGCTGAATTATTCGTTAGTTATTAAAATTTAAAATTTTATTTTGTTATTATCTACAACCAAATGATTTTTAACAGATTAGTTGGATTCCCGTCCATTTAAATGTTTGGAAACAGAAAGCATGCTTTTTATTGGCTGGCAAATTTCAACTGTAGGACTTTCAAAATTGAATTTCACAACAAAACTGTTGTAAAAGTTTAAATTTCATTCTCCGGATTAGTTAGAAAAAAATTCAGTTTACTGACGTTGATTTCAAAACCGTATAAATATACAGTCGCCATCACGGAAAAATATTCTTCTGCATCCTCTATTCACGGTGTAAGTACAGTACCGTAGTTTATTAAAATTGTTTGCTAATTGTTTAAAAGCCATCTCTTTGCAATTATAAATATAACAATTATATTTATGTTATATTATTTGTATTTTCTCCTATCTCTATAGTATGTAGTAGACTATTAAAACGACTACGTTAAGGCTCTGAATTTTAAGAACTTATCATCGCATTAACTGCATTTATAGACTATGCGAACATGGTTACAATTTAAAATAATTTGTTTATTATTTAACATAAATTGAGTTTTTAAGAATAACTAAATTTTTTGTAGTTACTTACAAATAATTGAAAAGTAATATAGTTTCTACTATTAATTACCCGCAAATCCAGAACAAAATCAGTTAGAAACCATTCAATTGTTAATAACAAATTAGAAATAAGATTTAAAATTTAATTTATAACTCATCTTTCCAATGACAAGTCTTTCTTGTAGTTGTAATATGTACCAGTTTGATTCCCATAGTTTATTTTAAGTTACTTCCATAGATTGCTTTAAATACTTTTTCAGACATTTAAAATTTAATTTATAACTCATCTTTCCAATGACAAGTCTTTCTTGTAGTTGTAATATGTACCAGTTTGATTCCCACATACGAGAGAACAGATAGGTTGAAATAATAAATTTTATTTATAGAAGAGAGAATGTTTTTTTTTTCCCTCTAAATTTCATCTTAAAATTAGGAAATATTCTTAATTTATTCTATATAACAATTCAACTATGTCCAATTCTAGAGNCATTATAATAAGTATAAAAGATTAAAATACATAAAAATGTGTAGTAAATGTTTAACAACACAAATACATAAATATGCCATAACCCTAATTTATGTTAAAATACGTCGTTATGAAATTCTATTTGTTAAATTTGTTTCCGAATGTTACGTAAAGTACAGTATAGGCCTATATGTAATTTTACATGCGAATATAGCATGTAGCCTAATTACATAAAAATCCGAATATTATTAATTTACTTGAAAAGTAGCTTATCGCAACTTTATGCTGCTGGAGAATGATTCAAAATTTAAAAAAAGCTAAAATAATATTCAAAATATCATATTTGTTCCAATGCAATACTGTATTTGTACAAATATATAATTTGACACCAGGAACGTGGCTATAACATTTAATACCAGAGGTAAACTTAAATATGATGTTTTTTAGGTAAGTCGTTCATTAGTCTGTTACAAATTTAAAAATTATAAAACACATTTTTTATTAATATAATTTTTCACACTTTTATGTGACAGTTTTCTATGAATTTATTAGTTTTCCCATGTAATAGTTTTGGAATTTTGGTTCTTCTGTCTTTCTACGCTGCTTAAAGCAATGAAGTTTTGTCGCAGATTTCACAAAAATAACATTTTAGGTTAATTAAACAGAATGAGAATTACAATTAAAATTCACAAGTTAAGAAGAAACATTAAATTAGACTAAAAGTGTCTTTACAATTAGTCTTTTTTTAATATTTGGAATTGGATAATATAGTCTGAAAAAGGTTACGACGGAGTTGATCTTTATTTGAAGCTCTCTAGAGGAATACTTAACATTGTTGTATTGAGGCGGACAAAAGCATCAAAATAAATGTCCACTCAGCCGTAGCTCTTCTATGTCTACATTATTCTATACCAAGTGTGAAAAGAGATGAAATGCCACTACATTTTTACTCTAATTTAATGTTTATTCTGAACTTGTACATTTTAATTACATTTCATATGTTTTCATACATGTTTCCATATAATTTATTTTAAAAATACTAGCATACGATAATAACAAGCAACTGATTATTAAAGAAAATTGATATGTAATCATGCTCCTTATCTAGGATTTTGAATAATTAATTTTAGATAAGAACATTTATTAACTACGATGCTATTCACAAAATTGATTAGTTATTTTGCTAATATTATAATCAATAAAGAAATTTAAACAAAAATTTGCCTGTAATATTAATATTTTCGAATATTTGATGATATTGTATTTCTAAATCGTAATATTTATAAATATATTTATAATTCATCGCATTAAATTCAATTATATGAAATTTCAGCTAAATTATGAAGTTTGATGTAATTGATTTTAATGTGATTAATTATAAATAATGAAAAAAAAGTTATAAATTGTGCGTAAAAACCACATTTAATCAAAATATTTGATTAAAACAATATCTATGATTATTTATATTTCTGTATAAGAAATTTTAACTTATATCATTTTTAAACAGTTGAATATAAGTATTAAATACAATTTCATTTAATTTTAAATGAATGATATGTAAAGCATTTGAAAATTTTAAATGATATGTTTTTTAAATATAAATATTAAAAAATAAACATTTATTAATCAAAATATCTCATCAAATTTATACAGCGATTCTTAACTCTGACCTTTCACACGATCAAAATTTGTTCTTTGCTCGAAATGTTTTCTTTATACAGAAACTACATCCACTTAACACTAAAAATTGGTGTCTGTTCTAATTTTCGACGCTTTTATTTATGTTTTATATAACTCGTATTTTTATATACTCGAATAGGTAAGATTTTCAGTTTATATATTATTCTTTATATTTATTAAACACATTATTGTTATTATTATTATTATTATTATTACAGTAAAATCTGTGTAAACCGTACGGTACCGAATTTTTTCCCATTCATTCAGATTCTATTTTATACAAGTTTTACTGTGTTTAATATCACATCCTAATTCTAAATCATTGTAGAATAATACGAAATAAAAGATAACTTTAAACATATGACGTTTCTTTATAAGAAATATTGCATATTACACAAACTTTTTATCACGTAATTGCCGTCTTTATAATTATTTCACATACATTATAAAATTTATAGTGTTATTATTAAAAGATATCTATATCAATAAAATACAGTTAGTATTTTATTATTTTGTTTAGAAGTAAGTTTAATTGAATAAAACAAATTGAATAATGAAATAATCAGAGTTATCGCTGTTATTGTAAGCGTGACGTTTTTGATGCGCCTTTATCTCATATTTGCTGTAGTGAAAGCTGAGGTTTGCACTTAAAAATACAACCTCAGATCTCACTACAGCACGTTTTCCGATAGATTCGCGTTTAAGCGTACACATCAGACTAAATAAGTTATTTCTAATCATGAATAGTAGTCATGATTCGAAACGTAAGTGATGCTTATCGATATAAACAGCTGAACGATGTCTATATCGATTAATATCATGTATACTTATAATTACATATAGTAATTTATATAGAGTATTTACAAGTAGTAGTAATGGAGCTAATTTCAACATCCTATTGTAGCCTTCCATTTAATAATGTTTGGAAAAAAATGTTTGTACACAATCAAATCTATCGATTATCTATTTTGATCACATCCCTTATTGAGAAAAATTCCGGTTCAATTATGTAATAAGCATTTTAAATTTGATTGATCTAGAAATGAAAATCAACTTTTAAAAGTTATTATTTTGTGTCCGGTGACACTATACGACCAAACTGAATATCACTCTACTTTTTATTTATTTATTAAATAATGATACATAACAAGATATTAAGCGCCATAAAAATAGAAATAACAAATGAAAATAGCAGTTAAAAAAAAGAAATTATTAACTACTGTAAGTTTGTAAATCTATTGTGCTGATATGAATCTATTGGATATCAAAATATTATGAAATTAATGAAATTATCTGATTATCCATGATATAATTTTATCTTCTCTTTTGTAGATTTGATTCGTCCTGATTAACCATTTCCCAACGGTTGAGATTTAAATAGAGGAAGTGACATATTTTTTCAAATACTGTATTATCAATTTTGTAGTTATTTTATCTTGTTTCTTTTTACGAAAGACTGAATTGATTTCGATTCTATTGATAACTGTGTTAATCTTAGGGAATGATATACACTATTAATAAATTTACTGGTATTCTAGTGGTGAAATGATGGGATAATCGAATAGATAAAGAACCTGCTGCTGTAATAGACCGAATTCAAGTGTCTCCCCACTGTTCGTCTCTAACTCTTAAAGTCAACCTGTAGCTTATCGAATCAAATTCTATCATTCATTAACGTTGAGATAGCAGTAGGCATTTGCATATAGCCTATTCTTATAGTGCTCCGTTTATACCAGAACATGGAGAAGCTACCGAACGAATTTTCTCTTTTATTTGTTTTGTTCAATCCATGTTATCATATATTGCAATTAACGAGATTTTGCACACACTCATTTCTGACGATAACGTAAGTTCTAGTACTGATTCACAATTTCACATTGTAAGCATAGTAAATGGCGTAAATATTGTCGAAACTCATGTCATTCTGATTGATGAGTAGTAACGAATATGATAATTATTACCATATGTTGATCAACAACTATTTCAGAGTAGATACACGCTGACATAATCAATTTCTGATTTAAAAAAGTATGTCAAATCTCAAAAGATGCATTTCTAAGGAACGTTAAAACACATGATATAAATGGCTGAAAATTAATCTGAACGTTACAATGATTATTGTAAGATTAAGTAAATTTAAAAAGTATATTAAGTCAGATAATTTTATCATTTGGGTAAATAATATTGACATTTTTCATTTAATATATTCTTATTTTTAATTTTGTATTATAAGACTTGTAACAAAATAATTAAGTTTAATGCTACCTATTGACAACAGATGGCAATTTAATCATATTAACCATATTTGTGGCTGAATGTATTATCTTTTCATTGAACACTGATATCAAAGGTATGTTATGAATACTCTATAATATTTATTTTATAAATTTCAAATCAATTTTATCAATCACTGAATTTTTTCCTCGATAAATTATTTTAAATTTGACACTTAAATTCGCTGATATTTGGTCCTAATTACCGGTTAAATAATATAACTATTTTTAACTAACCAGGGACCACAGTCAATTGTGATTTCGTGTTTCAGGTTGTTTAAATCTGAGAGTTTTTAAAACATTTTTGTTAAAATCTTGATTAATTGTTTCTGAATTAAAAGTGAATTAATTACAGTCCTTATTACGTATAATGGTAAAACTAAAAATATAACTAATAGTGACTACTGGAATAACTAATTGTTAAAATCCTTGGGTAAAATAAGTAAAACTGTAAAATAAAAATAAAAATTTTTGTTAGAATTTAGAAATTTAGTTAATTTTCAGTATTTAAAATTTTTGTAAATAATCCGTTTATTATTATTTCAAGATGATGATATAAGAGAACTAGTTATTTTAAAAATGAAGAAAAAAGTTATGGGTCGTTTCACTTTTGAGTTCGGACAGTTGAGGGTTGAGTATTTTGAATAATGCTCCCTGATAAAATGATTTTTCTATGTTTATCTAAAGCGGTGATTCCCAAACTTTTTCGAGCCACCACCACCTTGGTTTCATAAAGTTATACTCAACGCCCCTAACCTCACCCTAACGCTCCGTAACAAATTTTCCCTTGTGTGAGAAAGACTTAGAAATAATGTTAGAAAAACTTTTCTATGAACTTCCACTTTATGTCCTTACTGTACATTGTTCTCAACGTCTGAAAATCATTAAATTCAATGTTTCTTGTACCCATTTAAACAGAAGAAAGGGAAAGGTTATCAATGACCCAACCTTCGTCTATTGTCACTGTTCAGTACACTGCCTCCATCACCCCCTGCCGTCCACTTGCTTCTTTTCCTGCCCTATATTTACTCACCGCCCACAGGTGGGGACTGTAGCGCCCATTTTGAAAACCACCGATCTAAAGTATTGATATTTTAGGACCTTACGGAAGGCAAATATACTGTATCACTGACGGTTCTATTTAAATATGTAATTGATTTTTTATATTTGGGATTCTAGGAAACTCGACGTTCTTTCCGCTATCGATTAACTCGAAGATTTAAAAAGAAATTAGTTTCTACCTTAAATGACCAGAAATTTGACAATATACAATTTGCTGTGCAAAAGAATTATGTACCTCAAAGTATTGCTTTTTATACTGTTTTGTAATTATAAAATACTGAATTTTCTTTCAATCTATAATTAATTATGTAAGGTGCCGGACATGGTCCGAACCTTTACCAAAATCTTATTCCCAAAACAAAAAATCTGAAATGAAAAAGAAAAAAGTATTTTTATAAATTGTTTGCCATCAAAATTTCGAATGACTGACACCTTGAAATAAGAACTATCGATGAGAAGTACAGAATTCTTGATTTAAACTAAAGTCCAGTAAACATCACAGATTGGGATCGGAAATCGACATCGACTTTTTCTGCATCCGAATCGACTCGAATAAACCCTAGAAACAAATAAGATATCAATCGGGAAGTGTGGACGAGGGACTGAGATCAATCGAGATATACGATCGAGATACAAATATTATAAAAACCCGTGTTCCAAGGACACCGGGCTCTTTTTGATCCGTTTTTATCCGATCCACCATTCATCTTGATCTGATCCTGTGTTGCTGCTTATTCTTCGTCACTGCCGACTTTTCTTTCGTACTTCTTACTTGTGTTTGCTTGTGCTCTTCTTCGATGAGGGCGATCGTTCTCCTCTGCACTCGGATCTTTATTTTATATTATATTTTATTGTTGTTTTTTCATTTTATCTACATGGTCAATCTGAACCTAACTTATAAAGTTCACCGTTATGCAAGCAGATAAAATCACGGAACACTGGTTGTTCGGAGTTCGCACTTGACCAAAGGGACCATAAGGAGTTATTCGAGTTCTTTTAAGTGTTACTCCTAAATAGTGCCGGTTTCTCATAGAAAGACCTACCAGTACCTTTCTTGGTAGATTGTTTGTAGGTTGCGTTGCCTTATTTCCATCATCCAATTCAGTTTTCTCCAACGTGTTCCGGAATATAGAAGTTTAATTTCTTTATATAAACGATAATCTTTTTAAAAATAACTAATTCCTTTTTGAGGAAATTATCTTTTTCATACTTATCGAGGGTCCATCTAAGCTTACAATGATGTAGCCAGAAGATGAGGGACAAAGTCATGACCTGGTTAACCATTCACGAAAACTTCTAAAAATTTAACGCGGGTTTAATTCAAAGAAAATTTCATAGATAACACGCATGGTTGATGTTTCGTATAACAGAAAACATTAAAAATTTTTTGAGTAAGATGCTCGCATACCACTGATTATACCATCGTTTATCTATAAATACCCATTCCATTGTAACATTTTATGCCAATCAGTTAACTTTAATTTTATATATTAAAATATACATTTCTAGTTATAATGAATATACAGAATTTGCGCACGACCATTATAACTTTATGCATAACTTACCAGTATAAGAATAAGTTTTTACGTTAGAAGTTTATTTTATAAAATTACGGAACCAATCATTTGATCTTTTATTGTCGTCACTATATCGCCATATGCACGTTCACATAACAAAGCGCTTAATGTTTGTAAGACAAATTATTTTTACTTCGGTACGTGTGTTTACAATCTTGCTTTTAGTTATCGTCTATTAATTATTGCATTGTTATTACGACGACATAATCTTCGATATCTCCAGAAGA